ATGAAACCCCCCCCCCCCCCCCCCCCGCCTCAATAAATAAAAAAATTAATAAATAAACACATGGAGCCAATGTTAATGTGATTTTTAATTCGGAAGATCTGCTCAATTAATGTTACTGTATGTAGTGTCCTTGTGTTTTGGTCGTTACTCTGCAGAAACTCCCCATAATGTGGCTGTGTAAACAGACTTTTATCCCCACTGAGCAAATCAAACCATCCCTCAGTCCTGGAGAGAAGCCAGTAGCTCTGATATTCATTACTCGCAAGCAATACACGGCATCTTTGAGTGTGAAATATTATGGCCCACGGCCCAGAAAATAACGAGGGATTTGTCACAGGAACGGCAAAAGAGGACAAAGTCAAGACAGGTTCAATCCTAAGATAACAAACAAGCCCTGAACCTTTGGAGAAAGTAGTGGACACCTGCCTGCATTATTTCCTCCAAAGCGTGGAGCCCAACAAAAGGTCAGCGGTCTAACCTTGGGGGCCAGACGGGCCCACAGCAGGACTTTAACCCCTTCCACTGTCCCCTTCCTTTGTGGAATGCTGACACATCACATTTCACAAATTTCTGATTCATGAATGCTGTAATTCACTGCGCCACATAGTCACTGTCTCATACTTTAGGTCTCACGCTGGGAAAAGTGAGTTTCCTGACCAATGATGCAAAGCTCTCAAGTTTGCTGCTGACACTCCCCGGCTGAGTGCTGTTCGACTGTGAGGACATGACTCAAATGTCAAATGTTCTCACAATAGACCTTTTTCACCATGATGTCATTCTGGTTGGCAAAACCTCAGATGGTGCCATTAAGGAAACATACTATTTACATGTCCGTTAACCAAGGCAGAGTGAGACCGAGAATTATATAATATTCAACTGTCGAAATAAAGCGTTTAGCACTTTTTTCAATTCTATTATCCTGAAGTTTTGTACCTGGTTAAAACATGACGCATTCATATATATACTCATTTATTTGGTTGTACTGTACAGTGCAATTGCGACATGTGGTGAGCTATGCCTACAACCGAAAATCTTTCCTGCAGACAGTTCATTGGCGTGGCACCTTTAGAGCGCCTTGTTGTGACCCAGACAAAGGTGGACTTAGCAAGAAGGGGGAAAATATACTTGTTTATTGCAAATGTAGGATTTCCAGCAAAATCGTTCCAAAGTGTTATTAGAATTGGATGCAGTTAATTGCCTTTAATGTAATTAAAACCAAAGCCAGGACTAGAATTCATCCATTAACAACAGTGAACTATGCTGATAAAAGGCCAACAAAGCAAATGCATTCATTTCAAATTCCTTGGCGAGTAAAGGAGACAAACAGAAGCCAAGCAGCAAAAAAAAAAAAAACAAACAAAAAAAAAAACCTTGAGCTTGTAATTAACAGTTTAATTTGAAGATGCCATCACGCACAAAGAGAACCATCCATCCATTTTCAAATGTGTAATGTATTGATTAGGATCTCAGCAGTGGTGTAGTGGGGATTTTTTAAGCGGGTGTACGCGATTCTGGGATGTTCTATATATACATACAGAACATCAATCATAGGCTACAACACCAGTTGAACTAACGTTAAATTTAATGTTTTACTACTCCAAAATAATCACAGGCCAACGTTATTAAGCATAACTCGCATTAGAACAATGATCAACAAACATTTCAGTAAAAATTGAATGTGGCGTCGGGAGAAGTGGGTGGACGGCGTACCCCCACGTACCACGCCCACTACACCCCTGGATCTCAGGTCAACTGACCTTAATCACTGACCTGTGGTAATGATTTAATGATGTCATGCACACGGTGATACACGCACGTTTCGGACTTGTGCAAGTTTTGTTTTTGCTGTTGTTTTAGCTTTGGCGAAAATATTGACGCTTGTTTTGGGTAACCCTGTTCCACGAACAAACTTAGAACAAATGGGGAGGAGAAATAAAAAAAAAAAAAGACAGGGGAAAAAAAAGCACTCTGCGGTGGAAAGAAATAAAAGAGAGAATAAACGAAAGCACTGGAGCCTTCCCATAGCCAGTGAGCTATTAAACATTTAAATAGTGTTCATAACAGGTGATATGACCAACATAGCTCAGCTCAGAGAATACTCAATGGCGGAAATGTACTGAAACCATTGAAGTGTCGCTATGAAAGATCGGTGCACTTATTGCGTTGAATTATTGAATGCAATCTTTTTTTCCCTTGGAGATAGAATTGTGAGTCTTGTTGATTTTTTTGGGGTCATTGTGATGAAATTGCGGAATTAAACTGACCATTTTATACTTGAAACAGATTAAACCCCAAATTTGTCTTACCCTTTATGCAAACTCAGCTCTCTGTTATCGTTATTACCATATACATTGTGTATTTAATTTTTATTTGATAAAATCTGAAGCATGTCATGATTTGTGTTTTTGTTGACTTTTTTTTCCATATTATGTCACAATGTCTATTTTTTTAGATTTTCATTTCCTGTTCTCGTCAGCCCTCGTTTCCAACAGTCTGTGTTGGGTCGTTGTTTTTAGTCATGCTGATCAACCAATGTTGTGTTTCCTGTGATTTATTCCCTGAGTTTCTTTGTTACTTTGAACCTAGCATTTTGTGAGGGAATTAGTACTTTTATAATTCCACCTACTTTGTTTGTTGTTGTTTTTTTTTTTATTGTGAATACATCTTTTTTTTCCCTTAACAATGTCTCTGTGTGCACCCGTTTGCCTCCACATCACAAAACCTTGCTGCAGTATAAATGTTTGTCTGTGGTATAATCCATATTCGTTCATAGAGAAAACCCACACAAGCATGTGGAAAACATGCCCCATGTTCACACTCTGAACTGGTCGCCGGTCAGTCACGGGGACACGTGTGGAGACAAACATTCGCACTCAAAACAACAGAAAGCAGAGACTGACCTCAACTAAAAATAATAAACATACAGTATTAATACCCACCATGTAAAAGTGAGCGTCATCATCTTCTGCTTTGGATCATTGTCCTCTATTAAGCCCAAAGGCAAACTTGGCAAAAGCGCAAACCGCAACATCTTTGAATGCAGTTTTTGTGTGTGTCAGCTGTATCCATGGTTACTGTGTGTGTGCATATACGTGTGCACTCACAGCCATCATAGATGTCGGTGGGGATGTGCACAGCCGTGTGGCTGTGATCCGTGAGGCGTCTAAACGACGGATCCTCCTTAAAGTCGGGCCGTAGTCGGGATTTGCGTCCCTCAGTTTCGTTTGAATCCAGCTATTGAAGAGAAACATCAGAGATAATGGGATGATCACTTGAATTTGAATTTATCGCCCTGGCATGCTTTATATGTTTATCACCTTGCTTGAGATGAGGGGGGGAAAGGTATAGTGTTGCATAGATGGCATGACGATATGCAAAGAAACATGCATTGAGATGTGGAGGACGGCGGAGGAGGAGGAGGAGGAGGAGGGAGCAAGAGGAGTGCGCGTGACCACTTGCTTCCTAATAAAGCAACAATACAGCTGCCTCATCTATCTCATCTGTCAATTAGAGGAGAACCATGGCAGGAACCTCTTCACCTGTAAAATAGAAAGGGTGCGGGGGCGGGGGGAGCGATGAATTAGAGGCAACAAAAGGAGAGGAAGAAAAGAAGAAAGCCTTGAAGGAGACGACAATACATGAAAGCAAAGCGGTACAAGATGAGAGTGAAAAGCGCGAAGATGAAGGGAATGAGATGGAGGACGCAAATGTGAAAGGGAGGTCAACATCTCGACTGGTGCACATCCGACTTACTTGGGTGACAAAAGTCTTAGGGCACACTTACCGATTCATTAATCAACGTGGGATGTTTTTTTAATTTTCCTTATTGAATGTCTCTTTGAATCTCTAATGTTCTCTTTGAACACCGTATTTATCCTTCTTTTTTTTTTTTTTTTGCATTGCTCTGCCAATGATGCAAATGTTAGCACAGTTCCAGCGATTGTGTGAAGATTTTTATCAACATTGCCTTGGATGATTGCTGTCGGGAAGAAACCTCATATGTCCAAATTTCTTTTTTTTTTTTAAATCGTATTCATCTGCGCCCACATCGGCTGTTACTTTTAGGTATTGTTGAACAATTCAAAGTGCTGAGAATAGCTTGAAAATCAATCTATTAACTCAACTGCACAACTGTCTACATACTGTTGTAAAACGCTTCCTCTTCCCTCACGGCGGGAGCTGTGCGGCATTACGTCACCTCAAGATTTAATGTATAGGTGTTAAAGACAGTAATGACTGAAAATGCAAAAGTTAGAGATAATCGATTTAGTTGCTTTTGTTAAAAATGGATTGTATGAAATAACCGGTCAGTCACTGAGTTGAATGAGTGCAGATTCATTTCCGTCTGTTTAACTGCTCAGTCAACTACTTGTTTAATTTCTTGCATCGCTAATAGTTCGAACAGCTTTGTGAAAGAGTTCGGGAAGATGATGCAACAGTTGTCTGCTTTTATAAAACAAGAGAGACTTTTGGTCTGGTCGAGGCGTCGGCATGAGTGCAACGAATTAAAATATTTTGTGTATTAAATCGGCAATTAATATGAATTTGCGGTGGTGTTTGGCATTTTTTTTTTGGGGGGGGAGATGGGATGATATACAATATGTGACTGCAAATGATAATGCTTTTGTATTTATAATATAAAGCTGATATATTTAAAATGTTATCTGTTTTTCCTAGCACTAATTTACAGATGTAATGAATCACGTTTTCATTGATCATTTGAGCAGAGTACAAATTCCCAAAAACACAATCCAACATTTTGGAGAAGGTCTTCCCAGGAGAGTGTGTCCCAATACTTTGGTCCGCTTACAGTGTTGGTTGAAGGACAAGGAACACTTACATTGTCCTTGGAATTGTAGTATGCAATTTCATCATCCTGTAAACAAGCACATGAGGGAAAAAAAAGTCACACTAATTTGACCAGAACAAAATAATGGCTTTAGTTCGTGTTAAAAGTTCCACACAGATGTGAGGGCGCTCCGAATGGGAGTTCTAATGTGTCATGATGTGCAATATTTCCTGACAGGGCTGCAATCACTGCGAATGACATTCACTCAGGCAGCCATATTAAAGAAACTGAGATTATGAAATAGACCCAAGTATTAGTACATTGACCAATGTGTGTGTGTGTGTGTGTGTGTGTGTGTGTGTGTGTGCGTGTGTGTGCGTGTGTGTGTGTGTGTGTGTGCTTTCTTTTGAGGTGTGTGTGTTTCTTTTGAAATGAGATTTGTTTGTTTGAATGGCTATTTTTGAACTCAAAACAACAAATTAAACTGAATGGGGAAAAAAAAAAGTTCAATCAACAATGGATAATGAAACACTTGCGTTGGAAAATTAGTGGGAAGACCTCCAGACTTCAAGACTTGAATCCCACCCCTTCTCCACATTCTGTAAATTTACAGTATCTATTCTGCTTCACTGATTACTTGACTGATAGTCTTTAAAATAAGACCACTGTTTTATAAAGTTCCACAGGGTTCAATTTTAGGGCCCCTTGCTGTCCCTGGGTTTTATCTTCAAGCCTGGGATTTCCTATGCTGATGCCAATTGTATTTATGTTAAAATTAATGAAAGATGTCTTCTTCTGGAAAAAAAAACCTTTATTATGCTTTGAAGACATTAAAGCCTGAATGGCCTTGAAATGGATTGAAATGTATTGTTAATGTTGTGGCTGATTCTTATTGCCTTTTTTTTTAGTTATTATTGAAATGCCTGAACTTGTGGAATTATTGCCATACATCTCTGCACAATTTATATGCATGCAGAAATAATATATAATAATAATAATAATAATAATAATAATAATAACTAAAACACCTTTTACTCACCTCAAACTCATCTTTCCACTGATGTTTCATCTGGAACTTCTCGGCAGCTGTAGCCAGTTTCTAGAGAAGAAGGTAGGGTGGGGAATGATGGATAACAAGGATGTTAGTTGTGGAACTATCCGACATCCACTCAGTCATTGGTCTGTGTAATTATTGGCTATGTGCACAAAAAGCTGCAGACATAGATACACAGTATACTACTACCATCCCTCCCTCACACAGCTCAAACCGTCCGAGCTATCAAGGTCTTACAGCACTGTGAGGCAAAAGGCCACGTCGCATAGCATAATAATGTCAGAGTGAAATGGTTTTACTGCTTTTGCGTGTGTATGTGTGTGTGTCTCTGTGAATGTGCACTTCTGTCTGTGTGTGCGTGTGTGTCACAGCCGACGAAATGGCATGTCGCCGAATCACGTCAAAGGCGAGTGAATTAGTGTCTGAGCGTTTGTCACTCAGGGAGGAGGCTGGTAAATAAAGGCTGGGAGTGCCACTCTTGTTATCCGTCTATTTTCTATACTGCTCATTCTCACTTGGGGTCTCAGGTGAGATGGAGCCTAGCCCAGCTGACGAAGGGCGAGAAGCAGGGTAGGCAACGGACTGGTAGCCAGCCAATTAGAGGGCACATGGAGCCAAACAAGAATTCACACTTACAATCCGCTGTTTTCCTTGGTCATTGTTGTAAAAATATTAAGTCTGAGCATGAGGTTTGAGAATGACAAAAATACACTATTCCTGAGCAAATCCTTATATCTTGTTTCCAAAGGTATCATTTCCATCGACAGTCCTTTGTGATTCCAACACAGCACATTGCTTGTGTTTGTCAAATCCTTCCAAACAACTTCACGCTTCAGTGACTGATACAAAGACAGACGGCTGGTTGAGGAGTGGGGTGGGGGTGGGAGGGGGGAGATGACAAGGCACACTGCTGGCCCAACCAACCCACAAAACATGAGCATTTTACACCAAACTACAACAGATTGACATCAGTCACAATCAAGTATTGAAAGAATGTTGAGCATACTTTTTAAAGTGTAATTATTGGTAGATTTTACCAAAGTACAGCACATTCTTTTGACAAACTGAATGCTGACAATAGACAATAGTACACTTGCGCTCTTCGGTTTACACATCATGGCTAAATTTGCAAAATGTGTACCATTCTTTAGGGAAAGCGAGTGATGAGGCCGAACACATTTTATTTTAAATGAGATTCAAATTAAACTGCATGCAAAATAGCGCAATAATTTAAGAAAACACAACAATAAAGCAAACGGAAGATACTGTACGATTTCTGGAGAAACTGCATATGAATGTTGAACGAAAAAAAATGTGGAAACATGGACTGATATGGAATGATATTGAATGATAGGGAATGCTACGGAATGACAGGGACATCCTGAGACCTAAATTCAGCCCAGAAATGCGATGGGGCTCGGGGAATACGTGCAGCGGTAATGCGCTGAAAAGTTGTCCCCGACGGGCTGTCATGCTCCAGAAATGTAGTCATCGATGGGATGCGGCTGTCACGCGCTAAAACGGAATCATTGACAGGGAAGGGGGACGGCTGCTGTTGGCCGTGATGGCCGGAAATACCCCGGTTGTTTGGGAAAACATATTTTCCCAAAATTCCCCATGGGCACCCTACTCCTGGCGTAAAATGAGCAATATGTTGGTGAAAAATATGTATAAAATATGAAATTATATGGTAAAGTACAGTGAAATATGTCTTATGTATATGCAAAAGTTGAAAAGCATGGAATTGAGATGAGAAAACCTCTACGAGCGTGAATTTTTTTAAACGTATGTAAGTTGCAACGGATATAAATGTGGATGGAGCAGACTATTATAATAATAGTGAAATGTAAAGAATTTAATATATCATGGTTTATGTGTAATAATTAGATGATCCATTTTTCTGAGAGCAATGAGTTAGTTAAACCCCATCTCCGATGGTGTCGGTAATTCACTAAAACAGGTTGTTTCATTCATAATAATCATCATAATAACAATTATAACAATAACAACAATAATAACAAGGACCCCTATTTGACATATGAGATTGAAATGCATACACCTGCACAATTAGTAGGGGCTCACTGATACTCAAACGTGGATCTGTTTCTTAATTTACGGTGTTAAGCAGTAGCAACACAAAATATTGATCCTTCATTATTTTGTAAAGTATTTTTCAACAACTGTGATTTGCTTCCACCCAGCTCAGATGTGCCCCGCATTTCATTTTCATCAAATTGGTTAGCTTTCGGATCTGTTGAACCTCCACCAAAAATCGGTCGAAATAAGGGCCAAACACTGTAAAATATGTAAAGGTTTGACAAAGAGCTTGTCTATTGGTTGCTTTCCACCAGGAAGATCGACAGAAACTACTACAGGGGATATTTTAGATTAGCACATTCACCAATATTTCTGTACGCGTGCAGATGGTTTATAAAACAGGCCATGTACGGAGGGTGG